GAGTTTGGTGTGCCGGTACAGACATTTGGAGTTTGCAGGACTGCTTACTTCTTCCTTACTTTGTGAACTCAGTGCCGTGTTCCTGACTTTGTGGACTTATTACCTTGTTCCTTACTTGGTGGACTCCTTATTTGTTCCTTGTGTCGTGGACTCATTTCCCTGTTCCTTTGTTTTGCTAGACTGGGCGCACGTGCTTTGCTCTGGGACTTGCCAAGAATGTGTGAGCGTTTGGGGGGAAATTTGGAACATTAAAGGATAGTTTGAACTGTCAGCTGGCTGTGTGACCTTCATGCCTGGTCCCAGATCATCACAAATACAGAAGGATTTTGACAGACTTGAACATTGGGCACTATCTAACAAAATGAAATTCAATGCTGAAAAAAGTAAGGTTCTACATTTAGGCAAGAAAAACCAAATGCACAGGTACAGTATAGGTGGTACTTGGCTCAATAATAGTAACTGTGAGAGGGTTCTTGGAGTCCTAGTGGACAATCACTAAAATATAAGCCAGCAGTGTGCTGCAGCTGCTAAAAAAGTCAACACAGTTCTAGGCTGCATAAATAGAGGGATGGAATCAAGATCATGTGAAGTGTTAATACCACTTTATAATGCCTTGATGACCACACTTGGAATACTGCACCCAGTTTTGGTCGCCACGGTGTAAAAAAAGATGTTGAGACTCTAGAAAGAGTGCAGAGAAGAGCAATAAAGATGATTAAGGGACTGGAGACTAAAACATATGAAGAACGGCTGCAGGAACTGGGTATGTCTAGCTTAATAAAAAGAAGGACCAGAGGAGACATGATAGCAGTGTTCCAATATCTCAGGGGCTGCTACAAAGAAGAGGGAGTCAAGCTATTCTCCAAAGCACCTGAAGGCAGGACAAGAAGCAATGGGTGGAAACTAATCAAGGAGCAAAGCAACCTAGAACTAAGGAGATATTTCATGACAGTTAGAACAATTAATCAGTGAAACAACTTGCCTCCAGTAGTTGTGAATGCTACAAAACTGGAAGTTTTTAAGAAGAGATTCGACAACCATTTGTCTGAAATGGATAGGGTTTCCTGCCTAAGCAGGGGGTTTGACTAGAAGACCTCCAAGGTCCCTTCCAACTCTGTTATTCTGTTATTGTTCTGTTAATTATCTGTATAACAAACTTAAAGCTTCTGAAAAATAAGCTGTCTTGTTCAGAGAAAAGAAAGATGGCTCCTTTCGTTTGTGTGTTAATTACAAAACCTTAAACTCGGTGTGTATTCAGAACCTCTATCCATTACCGTTAATGAAGGACATGTTGGCCCAGCTGGGTAAAGGAAAATTTTTCACAAAGTTAGATCTGTGAGAGCCCTATTACCGAGTCAGAATTAAAGAAGGGGATGAGTGGAAAATTGCGTTCAACTGCCCTCTTGGTTGTTTTCAATTCCGTGTACTGCCATTTGGGCTACAGGGGGCGCCAGCCGTTTTCATGCAATTAATAAATGAGGTTTTGCATGACCACCTTTACAAAGGGGTGATGGTCTATCTTGATGATATCCTTATTTACACGGAAACACGTGAAGAACACATGAAGCTAGTCCGTTCAGTGCTAAAGAAACTCCGAGCAGCAGAACTATATGCTAAGTTGTCTAAATGCGAATTTCATCAGGAGAAGGTGGATTACCTGGGATATCGCATCTCCCACAATGGTATAGAAATGGACCCAGCAAAGGTCCAAGTGGTCACTGAATGGGCAGCCCCCCGCACCCACAAACAATTGCAAAGTTTCTTGGGTTTTGCTAATTTATTCCTTTGTTCACCAGAATTGCCCTCCCAATTATGAACCTCCTAAAATCAAAGGGGAAGGCCAAACCTAGAACAGGCAAACCCTTGAATTGGACTATGGAATGTCAAGCTGCGTTCGAGAAATTAAAGCGACTTTTTGCAGCTGAACCAGTTTTAAAACATCCAGACATGGATTCACCATTTGTGGTCCAGGCGGATGCTAGTGATGTTGCAGTGGGGGCAGTGTTGCTACAAGCAAATGCTGATGGAAAATTACAACCTTGCGCCTACACTTCTCGAAAGCTAACTGAGACAGAGAGGCGATGGGCTATATGGGAAAAGGAGGCTTTTGCAGTTAGATGGGCCTTGATGACATGGCAACATTTCTTGGAGGGAGCTAAACACCCTTTTGAGGTGTGGACTGATCACAAAAATGTGGAGGCATTAAAGACTCCCCGGAAATTATCCCCCAAACAAATGAGATGGGCACAACATTTCAATAGGTTCAATTTCACTTTGAAGTATATCCCAGGAGGGAAACATTTATGGCTGATGCTTTGTCCCGGCTTCCTCAATATAACAGCTCAAAGCTTAGTGTGGTCCACCCAGTCATCCCAGCGAAAAGCCTCGCTGCTCTGGTTGTTACCAGAAGCCAGACCAGTTCCGATTTGGAGGTCACAAAGGACCTCGTTACTAAACTCAAGGAGGGCCTTGAATCTGATGAATGGTTTAACCAACATTCGGATGAGTGTACCATAAAAGATGGTCTGGCTTGGATTGGGGCTAAATTGTATGTTCCCGCGGCCATTAGCGGTCTGGTTCATCAACGTGCCCACGATTCACGCATGGCTGGTCACTTTGGTTTTGTGAAAACCCTGCATCTCATTAAAAGACAGTTTTGGTGGCCCTCATTAAAGAAGGACATTGAGTCTTATGTGGCCAGTTGCCCCACATGTGCTGCCGCAAAACGACTGCTGGGAAAACCCCGGGGTTT